TAATAAATCTTAGCTGCCAACCTGGAAACCTCAGGGTATATAACCCCAAATCCCACCTGAGTGGGGGCTCAGCCTCTGGATGTGAATCCGCTGAGCCAGTGCCGGCACTAATAAAGGTTGCTTCCCACGCCTTGGTGTGCTGTCTCTTTGTCTGGGTTCCCCGCAACATTTTATGCTGTGAACCAGTTGACATATGGTACTATTTCAACAAGAGCCAAAATAAACTGGTCCATAAACCAAGGATCTGAGTCTTTAAAAATTATACTTAATGATTAAATCTCAGTGTTCCCCCTAACCCTGTGATTCTGCGTACTGCTGATTTGGATTTTTTAATAACAGGGAAGAATATTTTAGCCGGGAGCACAATAGTTCCACTGCATGAAAAGCTGAAACGGTATGTCGAAGTCATTTTAACCTCCTCATTGGCTAAGATTGTTGGTGAACCCAAGGACAATATACAATGGACGAAAGAAGCTATAAATGTAAGTTATGACCCAGAAGCCAATTAAGAAAAACCAGCTTGCGGTGCCGGCGGGGCCCCAGCTGCTCCTCGTCTCCGTCTCACACGCTTCCGGACGCCGTGCTCCAGAACCTCTAGGACTTGGGAGAGACAGGAGATGAACCAGGACAGAAAAGGATCAGAAAGAGGAGGGAAAACAGGAAGGGAGTTGTGGATACGCAAGAATTTAACTTAGAAGAGGCTCAGCTGGAGGTCCACCGGTTTGGGATCCCGGGTTACGGAAAAGGAAAGGAGAGAGAGCCCTGGAACCGGAACGCGCCAGCCTGCTGGGTGCTCAGCCGCCCAAAGAGTTCTGTGAATTACAAGGTTTTGCAGGAGCATATTAAAGGGAAAAAAGGCAGCGACGGAAGAAGAAAAGAGAATGGCCCAGGACTCCGATATTTTCAAGAAAAAGAAAAGGAAGGGGCGGGAAGACAGGAAATCCAAACAGAAGCGATCAGCTCCCAGCATTTTGTCAAGTGGGTGGGTTGAACAGGTTGGAAAATTCAAAAATGGGACCTTGATTCTGAGCCAAGTTGATACCAAGAAAACAAATTCTTCCCAAGTGGCTAAATGAAGTGCTTTGTAAAGCAAAGAAAAGAATGGGAAAGTGCCTTTACCGAAACTGGACCCCTGCAAGATTTCCAGATTATTGTTATTTATTTCATATTTCATAGACTGCTTTTTTATTTTAGGGGAAAAATATCAAATAGAAATGATAAAATTCCTGGTTGCCAAAGCGCCTGCTTCATGGTGATAACCGTGTAGGGCCAACTGCAGTGTGACTAGTAAGTAAATCTACCAAAAAGAATGTTTAACATTCTCCAGCAGGGGTCAGGCTGGTTTCACGTTCACCGGTGTTTTGTGCATTTGCTCGTAATAAGATTTTTAATAAGTTTACTGATTTGTAAGTACTAATGTTACCGCCAAGAGAGTGCCCCCCACAAAGACTTAAGTGTTCTTTCCTATAGAAATGTTAAGTATAGAAACCTTAAGTCTCCTCCCTAGTTTCTTGGTTTCTTAGCCCCTGGCTTTGATTACTCTTCTCATCAGTCTGTGAATCCTAGGCTAAAGATTGCTCCTACCCTGAATCCTAGAATTCTCCTCTCCCCCTGCTTCTTGATTGCTTTGTAAATCAGTTTCTGAATCCTAAACAATAGAAGCCTCCTACCCCTGCTT